ATGCTGTGGACCATGAGTTTCCACTGCAACACTAGAATACACATCATCATTTTCAGTGACTAAAAATGTGTAAGATGTGTTCTCTTTGTGCTCAACGACGGAAGAAATTGTTTCAATTGAAATTGTTTCTTTGGGCTCTTCTAAAGTCATGCACGTATCGGCTGTTTTTGCCATGTCTTCAGATTTCAAAAGGAAGTTGTCCCACATTGCACGCAACTCCAACAGCTCATGATGTTCTTTGTCATATAGTTTTTTGTAGTAGTCCTTTTCATCCTTCTCCTTAAGCAACTCCTCCTCAAGATCATCATTTTGTTGTATAATGGAAAGTAACTCAGTTATTTCTGCTTCTGTTGTACACACATCCTGGTTCTCATACTCAGCATCCAATACTGTGGAGATCCGCACATTTTGGTCCGTCTCTAAAGAAAATGTGCCCTTCGGATTTGCTTCACATGGTTCTGCTAATTTCTTAATTTTTTCACTGAGATCTGAAAGGCTTTGAACCTCACTTTCAAGTTCATCTGCAAATCTCCGCGCTTCTTTGATATTTTCATCTTCATAATCATTGCCATCACTTTCAGATGAACTTGAAGTATAAGGTACAGCTGTCTTGTATTTAGATGTCTGATTATTGTTCTCTAGTATTGCACGCAGTTTCAGGAGCTCATCACGGAATTCATTCGATAGATTGCTGTAGTGGTACTTTTGGTCCTTTTCTTCAGATAACTCTGTCTCAAGAGCGGAAACTCTCTGATGGAGAGAAAATACCTTGTTTTTTTCTGCTTCTAGTTGACACAAAATTTGAGATTCTTTGCTTCGTTCTGCATCTTGCATTCCTTTCAGAAGGCCACCGCCCGAAGTGGATGTCTGTTGTGGATCACATTCAAGAGATGTGATGTCCAAAGATGTGCCAGAGTGCTGAGAATGAGTATCCAAGCTTATATAACGTGTGTCTCTAGATCCCTCAGTTGTAGAAGAAGAGGTCTCCAGTTGTGCAGGTTCCACTAAAACACTAGAATCCTGTAAAGTAGGCACAACCAGCTCCTTGTTGTCAGGATCTATAAACATGTAAGATGTGTTCTCTTTGTGCTCAGTCTTGGAAGAAATTGTTTCATATGAAATTGTTTCTTTGGGCTCTTCTACAATCATGCATGTATTGGCTGTTTTTGCCGTCTCTTCAGATTTCATAAGGAAGTTGTCCCGCATTGCACGCAACTCCAACAGCTCAGAAAGTGCTTCATCATATAGTTTTTTGAAATAGTCCTTTTCATCCTTTTCATTAAGCAACTCCTCCTCAAGACTATCATTTCTTTGTTGAAGGGAAAGTAGAAGAGTTAATTCTGCTTTTGTTGCACACACATGATGGCCATGGTCCTCAGACACAGTCAAGTCCTCAGAGTTAGTATCCTCAAGTTCTTTCTGTGTTGCAAAAGTCATGTCCTGTGGCACGGATTCAGGAACCGTGACTTCCATGGTGTCACTAGGGTGCTGTAAGTTAGGCAAATCAAGTTCCCCTCGATTAGCATCCAAAAATGTAGAGCTGTACACAGTCTGATCAGACTCTAAAGGAAATGTGTCCATATTTGTTTCGTTTGGTTTTGCTAATTTCTCAGTGTTGTCAGCACATTCAGATTTCCGTGCAGGTTTGACATTTTTATCCTCAAAATCACTGCCATAAGTTCCAAATGAACTTGCAGTGTCAGATACAGCTGTCTTATCTTCTTTGTAATTCATTTTATCCAGTGTTGTGTGCAATTTCAGGAGCTCAGCTTCCAACTCATTGTATAGTTTGTTGTAATGATTTCTTTGCTCCTTTTCTTTAGATAACTCTGCCTCAAGATCACAAATTCTCTGTTGAAGAAAAATTAACTTGGTCATCAGTTCTTGGTCTCTTTCAGGAGCTGTCTCCACTTGTGCAGGTTGTGAAGCATCAAATGTGTCTCTAAGGCCAGTCTCTAAAGAACTGTAATTCATGCTAAGAACTTCTTTTGAATCTGGTAAGCTCTTAAATTTTTGAACTAACTGTTTGATCGTTTGAACTTGAAAGTTAAGTTTATCTACAGATTTCCACACACCTTTTATGCTATCTTCTGCATTTTCATCATCATCATCATCATCATCATCATCATCCTCATAATCATCATCATCATCATTTCTAGATGAACTTGAACTTTCAGGTACTGCTGACTTGTCTTTATACTGCAGATTGCATCTATCCAACGCTGCTCGCAACTGCATGGCCACATCTTGTGATTCATTGTATAGTTTCTTGTAATGGTCCTTTTCCTTCCTTTCATTTGATAATTCTGCCTCAAGATGATAAACTTTCTGCTTCTCCAAAAGTGGATTGATGAGAACTTCATCTGGAACACACAGCATTTCAGATCCCTGGCTTCGTTGAGTGTAACCAAGTTCAACTTCCAAAGCAGAAATGTGTTCTGGCTCACTTTCTGTAGTGTCAGAGACTTCATATTCGTCCTCCCAAATCAAATAGAGCCTCCGCTTCTCGTAGTCAGTCTCTTCAAAAAACCTGTCTTTTGGGACCACTAACTTATGAAGTTTCTCTTCAGATTTACGTACAAATTTGATGTTTTCATCTGCCTTTTCAAAGCTGTCTTCTCCAGATGAACTTGAACTTTTAGTCATGTTTTCTTCAAAATTCTGACCGACATCCTCCTGTACTGAAAACCTGTCTACTCCTGAATCTGAAGCACTCCTTCTGAAAGAGATACTAAGGTCCTGTTCCTCAGAGTCGTCATATTGGTTATCTTCAGAATCCACAAATTTGCGATTCATGTGTTCACTTTGTTCAAACTCAGCAGAAAATGTTCCTTTTGCCTTTTTGTTTGCCATTGCTGAATATTGTGACTGGTCGATGTTCTGCCTAGATGCTTCCAGTTGAATCAGAAGCTCATCTAAGGCTGAACTTAGTCTGTCAATATTGCTACTTAAATATCTGTTGGCACTGCAAGATGGACTTGTGCTTTCAAACTCTAACATCTTGTTTTCAAGGGCTATCTTTAAGTTCTGCCACATCGAATGCACTCTCAAGAGTTCATCATGGAACTGAATGAATTTGTTCATATAAAGCTCCTTTTCTGACTTCACTTTACATATCTCCTTCTGAAGGTTAAGGCAAGCTAAACTCACATTTTCAAACTCAGTTATGTTTTTTTCAAAACAGATATTGAATTTCTCCAACTTTGAAAACATCTTATAAAGCTCACCTTGTGATTTAATGTATTGCCTTTTGTAATAATCCTTTTTGGCTGTTTCTTTTATTAACCCCGACCTGTGATCACAATGTCTTTCCAACAGGAGAAATGCCTGATTTTTTTCTTCTTCTTCTGGTACAAAAAATCTTTGTGAGTCCAAGGTTTGCTGCCTGTTGTGGATTTTCTCCCAAGATATTATCTGCCTACGGTCATAGTCTGAATCTTCAGACTCCAAAGTTTCATCAAACCTTTCTTTCACAGAAAGAGAACTCGACCCAGATTCACTATCCGCAGCTCCATAGTCTGTGTCCTTGCTTGTTTGAGCCTTTCCAGCATAGATCTCCTTTTGCTTAGACCCTGAAGAATTGATTTCAAAAGAGACAGAAGGTTTCTGTAGTTTGGCCGTATAATTATCATCAGATTCACCCTCTGACAACATGTAATGATTGTCTCCATCTTGCTCTAGCTCAACAGACAAAACATCTCTTGGATTCAGTTGATTTTGTGCCTGGTTTTCTTGTTGTTGCAAAAACTCCGCTTGAACGTGAAGTTCATCCAAAATCAAAGATAGAACGTTAATCTCTCTCTTTATACCAATGTTGCTGTCGTTATCAAAAGCGCTGTCCACTGCAAGGTAATCTATGTTTTCCTGAAGCTCCTTCCTTAAACTTTTCCACAATGAATACACTTTCAACAACCAAGTTTGGGATTGAAAGTATAGATTTTTCCAATGTTCCTTTGCCAATGTCTCTCTAAACAATTCTGTCTGAAGACCACTAGAATTGATACTTGTAAGTAGATTTTGAAATTCAAAAGAGCTTTCTTTAGTGTTGATACTGCTCTTATACTTGGAGTTCACCTTCGAAAGTTCAACCAGTGGTTGAAGGTACTGGTTTCTGAAATGGTCACTTTGGGCTTTTCCTGTCAAAGACTCTTTCTCATGATCACAAGATCTCTGTTCCAAGGTAAATGGCTCGAACACTTCATGCTCCGACACGTACAGTCTGGATGATTCTTCCTCTTTCTCTGCAGCACACAGAGACATGTTAAAATTTCTTGACATTACAATGTCTGGGTAAATCCTGGCAGACAAGAAAAGTTGTTCAAAAGATGAATGATTCTTCTAGTTTTACTTTGCAAAATAATTTCAAATATCTAACAGCTCTGTTCGCTCTCCAAAATCTGGAAAACTGGACTGTGTCTTACCACAGGTAGAATACAAGTAAAAACAGACGTCATGGTCCAGGGTTGAACCTGTATTATGTCATAAAAGAAAATATTTGCATATTCTAGTAAAATGATGACGCAGTCAGTTCTCTACCCGCCCACATCGTTTGCGTCACACCATTGAGTTGTCAAAGAAATCTGCAGTAGATAGATAGATAGATCGATCGATCTTGAGGATAGATAGTACTTGAGGAAAGAATACTATGAAATACTGAAGCAACAAGACAGCAACCTGAAGCTACAGCTGAATAAATGCCTTGTGCTTTTACTGCAATTGGGTTTGGAAGCAAATTATTGGTTGGCCCCAAACAAGTATGTACTGTATATGATAATTTTTTTTGTCTAAATATGTTTTTAATGTTTTTTTCAACATTCTAGCGTTTTTAATAAACGTACACCATAACTATCAATATTAACATAATAAACAAACGCTGCAATAGGTTTACACACCCATATTTATTTATTTCAATGATATTCAAATTGGAATGTTATTCCAACTTACAGAGACATACAAGCATAACTAATTAATTAATTAACGTGCTGTTATCAGAGTCCAGAAGGGGTAGGTCTGGACTGTCATGAAGGGAACCGGATCAGCAGCGGTGAACCGGTAGGCGGAGACTGTCCTCTTGCTTCCGCGTTTCCCTCTCACTTCTCTCATTGCACAGCACGCCGGTAATTGTGGTCACGTTTCCAACCCTTCATCCTTATTTATTCCCTTTTTAGTTCTACCTGTTGCGAGTTTATTAAAACGGCTTTACAACATTTAGCGGAACCCACACAACCCTGTCCTACACAAAGGGGGGTTGTCGACTGGCTCATCCATGTATTGGAGTCCTGGGCCCCAGCGCACCGGCTCCGGCTTCAGCCATGTCGGCACAGAACGCAGCGGCTGGCGGCGGTGACAGAGCGGGAAGCGAACCGGCAGGTAAATGAAACACAACACTATTGCTGTCACCGTCGGTAATGCTTGCATATATGCTGGCAGTAGGGGGTCTCTTCCATCGAGGTTTAGGCTGACAAGCTGAGGTTCAGGGCTGTTTATTGTCAGGTTGTTGCTCCGCTCAACTGAGGAGTTTGCGCTATTCCGAAACTAGGTCAGTAGATCAGTAGAGCAAGCTCGCCCTCTAACGCTACGCCATTTATGTAACAGCTGTACGACCTTGTTTGCCACACCACCACCGTTTCGCAGCCTAAACGGGTCAAATATTAAAAACCTATTGTCTGTTAAATATAATTATTCGCTCCTAATGATAACCTGTACATGTAAACCACAACAAAAGCTAGCTTAGCAGCGGCAGCGGGGCCTGTTTATCGCTCTCTAGCGAAGGATGCGTTTATTTAAGGTGGTATTCTTGAGAACAGCGTGTTACATTACGTTACAGTAGCTTTATTTAGCACTTCGTTTTCAAGAATGATCAGTTTTAATTAATACAAAGTGTAGTTACGCGTTTTATATTTACAACAGCTTCTATCTACAAGAGGAGGAGCCGAATCGGTTATTTGTGTTAAGCTTTAAGGTTGCCACAGTGAGCCTCTCTGTCTGTAGAAGCCAGTCCTCCTTTAGTGTCACATAAATCAGTTCTGTTCAGGACTAGATGTACTGGACTGTTGGAACCGGCTTTAGGGTCAGTTCAGACTGAGGAAGAAAAAATACAAACACAGATGACTGAAAATAAATGAGCAGATTTTTTTTATTAGGCTTAAAAAATGTCTAAAAAGCAACATGTTTATTTTAGGTAACATATTAACTAAAATGTATGTGAGCGTCCAGACAAACCGTTGCACGGCAGTTTCAAATGTAAGGTTTTAAATTTCCTTTTTATTTATTACTGTGTAACAGGCTCGGGCTGGTTATTAATATCAAGGTGTACCGCAGTTTTAAGAAGTTGTGGTTTTAAAACTGCTACAATTTCTCACCACATCATTTCTACAATATAAAGTTGTTTTAAGTAGACACTGGAGGACGAGATGAATGGCTCCCTGTTGGTGCTGCACACTGCCGATTAACTGGCTGAATACAAAGTCTAATATAATGTAGTGTAATTTTCCAATGCTTACGAGAGAGAGAAATTTGGCTGCGTAAAATGTTTCACATGACACAGTGATGGTGTTACAACTAAACTACCTGCTAACTGTAGTTGGAAAGCTACAAATAGCAGGGCCTCTTTCCCAGTTAGACTAATTACCCAGCTTATATCAGCTATTTACAAGTTACTAAATGAAGAGAAGAATAGCAAAATTATATAATTTCCTTGCAATAAGCACTTAGGATGAAGTCATTGTAACTGTAATGACCAGTAAGTTATGTAATGTTAGCAAGTGTAGTGCTTTTAATTTAGTCAACTGGAACACAGCGCACTTTACAGAAATTAAAAATACATTTAAAAAAAAAAAGCAATGGAGACATTTACCAGAAGTGATCAAACTAAGTAAACGAATGAAAGAAAAAAAATGAAGACATAAGATGGATACATCAGTCAGTTGTGTTGCTCTGTGCTTAAATGCCATTGAGATTATAGAAAGCTTTACAACCTTTAAATTCAAAGGTCAATCTGATACAGTCTAAGCAAGCAATATTTACATCAGTGATAATGTAGTACTTGCCAAAACAATTAGTTAGAAATATCAACCCATGGGGTGCTGTGGTGGCGCAGGGGCAAAGCACGATCCACGTATTGAGGCCTTAGTCCTCGATGCTAAAGTTTTTACTAACTAAAACTGAAATTCAACAAACACAAACGGTACATTATTAGAAACCTCAAATAAAATTTAGAACAAACTGGTGCATGTTTAGTTTGCAATAACTATTGTTATCCATCTATTGTCTGCACCTGCTTGTCCTTGCAGGGTCACAAGGACAAGCGACTCTGCAACTGCTCCATCTAAATTGCTTGAGGGCAATTTACATGAAGCAGTTAACCTAAGAGTCATGTTTTTGGACTGTTGGAGGGAGCTGGAGTACCCAGAGAGAAGCCAGGGTTACACAGAGAGAACATGCAAACTCCATGCAATTAGACCCCAGGCTGGGATTTGAACCCAGAACCTTCTTGCTGCAAGGCTTTTGTGCTACCAACCGAACCGCCGTGTAGTCCCATTATTAATGTGATTATTATCACTGTTGTTACAATTATCACTACTAGGGATTGGTAGTATTATAGTGTTGAGAATATGCTAACTGGAAGATTTTCTGTAGCAAAAAATATAATTCTTTAACATTTATAATGATGTTTAAGGATTGTTATTTTACTCTGTATAAATAAATAGATGCAATGAAAGATAAAAATGATTTGTTCATGTAGAATTAAAAACGCCTAAATGCACGTCTAATGGTTTATCAGCTTGAGATTTCTTCAAATAAGCTGAAAAAATAATAAATTCAACATATTATACAGTATTTATTATATTAAGTCCTGACATGTTCATTAATATCTTTAAGATGTATTGTTTTTTCTTTCCTAACGCTCTCCTACCAGCAGTGGTTGAGTGATATGTTCAAGATGTTAATGAGTCTTGTGTTTACTTCAAACTTGTAACTTATTGTCCAAAACCAAAATAAAAGCGTGTGAATAGCCAGTAAAGCCTGGAATAATAATCAGCTCTATGTTTTCCCTCAGCACACCTTGAAATGGCACAGCGAGACAGGCAGGAGCCGGTGTTATGCCGGCAAACGTGCTGGTGTGTTGGTTTTTCAAATATAGTAAACTTTAACATTTCATGATATTTAAATTAATTTCAATCTATTGTAAAACTGAGCATATATATATATATATATATATATATATATATATATGTATGTATAAAAATGCTTTACTTTTTTTTTACATTAAAAAAACTTGTTTTATATTTTTTACATAAAAAGAGAACAACAACAAAAAATCTTATTTCTGAAGATGTGGGGCTGTTATTTTTTTTTCTGGTCCTGGAGGCTGAAACTCATGACTACATTGTGTGTGAGACTAAAGCTCACTCACTGACAAACTTTGTACATGTTTATCCAAAAAGCTATTTTATGAACTTGTAGGCAACTGGTGTAAAATAATTCATAGAATGATCTGTGTAAAACTGTCTAGAGAGTAACTGTTTGACATAAAAGTAAGGCATAATTAAAATTTTAAAAAGCAGTGCTTACAAAAAACCGCAATTACATTTTTGAGAATGGACTTGTTTTCGTCTTTGGTCAAGGTTGCTCTTGCACCAGTCATTAGTTTGAGCCATCAGGACCAGCTGACCTGGATTTAAACTAAATAAAAACATCTGCAGAGTTTTTTGCTTTTTTTTTTTTTTGCTGCAAGTTAGGATATTAACTGCTTATTTCAATTTTAATAATTCAGACATTTGAGACGGCTGTGCTGGAGTGGAAACACCTAAAGTAGCAAAACATGGACATTTTACGATTGGAGTTGGACATCTCTGCTTTTGCTGCATCAGAACCAAAAAATTCCCAAAATGTCATCAAGCATTTCCTTGATGCACTTTTGTTTTAGTTGAGTGAAAACCAAGTAAAGGTTAGTGACACATTTCAACAGAAAGGAGTTACTAAAGGAACCTGCAACACATTTTCCTCAATATTCCTGTTTTACATTTACACTCGTTTGTTGTCCATCAGAACTGGCAGAGGAGACCTCAAAGAAAAACAGAAATCAGTCTCAGCTAGAAAAAAAAACAGTTTGTGCATCTCTAAAATAGAAGCTTTTTACTGTAAAGCAATAAAACAGTAAACCAAAAAAATACTTGAAAGAAGCCATTGTTTACCCATCGCTAAACGATCAAAAAAATAAAAACTGCTCTCATGATATTTAAAGATCAGATTGTTGTCTTTGGGTCAGTTGACCCATTTTTTCAAACCCACACAATGCTTTGTCATACCACTGTATGTAAACAAGAGGAGGTTTTTTGTGTGTGTGTTTTTTTTTGTTTTTTTTTTTTTGGAAGGACAGGAGGATTTAGGTAAGACCAATTTTTCTATAAGTTATGTTCATTGACTGTCATAAAACTACCAAATCTATTTTTATCTCTCAAGTAGAATAATTTATTTTGTATTTTAGAGGCAGATGATGTAAACTTTATAGCTTATGATATTTTGTATTTATAGCAATATTAATACAAGTGACTAAAAGTACTTAGCAAACCATTGGGATCTTTTTTTTTTCCAGCAATAAACATTATTGCTAAGGATGTCCATAACCGCAGTCAAACCTCCAGAGGTACAAATATGTCTCTTATAAAACAAAATTTATAAAATGTCATGTAAAAACTGAACAAAAAAATACTGTAGAAGTATAAGACATGCAAAGTGGTGAAATGACATGTGCATGGCTGCACAATGTATCATATATAAATATATATATATAAATCGAGTAATCTATCACAAATATATTCCAAGTTTCATGTCTACATGTTTAACATGCCAATATGACATTTATCCTGTTGGATAGTCTTTTTGCAGAAGAGGCCCACCTTAACACAGATCCCATAATGCTAAAAGTCACAGATATTGTTGAAAGCAAGCATGACAGGAAGACCGGAGTAAGCAAAATGTTGGTTTGCTTCGCACAGATGAATAAAATCACAGTGACACAAATACATTAGCGTTAGCTTAACCCAAGAAAGCTCACTGAGGAGCTGCCATGCATTCACATGTCCTGGTATGTGTGAATTGATCTGAATGAAAAGGCTTGAGCGAGCAGTTAGAGGTTTGGCCTTGTCTGTTTGCTCAAAATGAGTAAAAAGGTGTGTCCTCAAGTGAATAGGGTGCTTTGCATTTGTTTCATGGAGCCTTTCAAACCTTGGGATTGTCCTTCGGGCACGCCACCTTTGGCACAATCAGTCTATTTGAGGCAATCAAAATAAAATATTTCTGAGTTGTGGAGCCTTAAGCTGAATAATAGATGCTGAGAAGAGGGATGGATAAAACTCTAGTTCTATGGGGAGAAAAGACTGCAGAATGCCATTTTAGTTCTGCATCTAAGAACTTCTTTTCTGCAGTTATTTAAATTCAGTGATAATTTGCAGTCAATGTTTTTTTTTTCCATTTATTTGCATTTTTGTTTTTGAAATATTAATGTACGAGCATCTTAACACTTTGAAGATTTAAATGTAGAGTCTGCTGCTTTAAATGAGATGATGAAATCAGACTTTCATCAAGCAGCATTTCGTCGTGCTGTGGGGTCGTATAGGTGCAGCCAGTACTCAAGTCAGACATTTATCGAATGAGCTTATAAGTAAACACTTGAGCCTCAGAGAAAGGTTGTAGGATTTATTGGAAGAATGTGTGTGCAGTCTGATCTTCATTTAGCTTCTCGCCTTCATTGTAAACTTATAATCTGGCAGAAGTTGGCAGAGTGAGGAGGATTAGAAGTTGGGTCACTGCTGATCTGTTAAAGGCTATTTGGGTCACAGGGTTTGTGGCTCACAGTTAAAAATAGGTGTAATCAATAAAAACCAGTCTGTTTCCAGTCATTCTCCTGAGGTTTTCTCCCACATATTTTTTCAGAAGCCTTACAGCTTGTGGCACACCAGAACAGATGTGGAAATATGACGAATTGAGCTCATTTCTGAGAGCCACTGTCAGCAGTTTGGGATTTAAATGCTTCATTACACCATGGTCGCTTTTGAACAACCCATACCGCCCCATTCCTGGGCTTCTCTCAGCTGTAGGCCTTTGGATAAAAGTACGGTACAATCACAATGCAGCCACTGGCCTCATACAACACAGTGCATTGATTGGGGACAAAAAAACGTCACTTCTTGCGACAAACCTGAGACCTTAGTGCAACATGTTTGTTGCTGCATTAATATAAATGCCACATTAGGTGGAAACCTTATCCTGAACACACCAGACCATTAAATAGCGTACCAAACCACACCGACACGTGCCAGACTGTGGGAACGAGGAATAAAAATGCTTTCTATAAGAAACATCTGAAGGAAAATATCCTGCCACTATACTACTCTCCTGTAAATAACCTTCCAATGTCCCTGAGCTAAAATAATTCTGCAAAGAAAATTAGGACAAAATTTCTCTGCAGCAACGTAAAAGATAAATGTTTTGCTATTGCAATCACTTGATGGCAGTCGTTGCTGCCAAGGTTGGCACAGGATGTGAGGTTTATGGAAATGTACATTTTCATAAAGGGCCAGATTGGTTTGGAAAGCTTATTCTCCTACAAATTTTGATCACTGTTTTAAAACAGCTCATTGTAATTAGTCTGGTTATATTTGCCTGAAATCTTTTTTTTTTTTAATCCAAAATGTTTAATTATAATAAAAATAGATTTATTTTTTTTAACAGCAATGTAGATGTAGGAAAAACTTTCCTGGTGTAAAACTCCATAAAATCCCAATATCAGTGATGGTTGGTTCCACTTTTGAACAGCCTGGTTTTGTAATTTCTTGTTGGAATAATAAAAACTGAAGTCACCACCTGGTTTTGCTTGAAGAAATTTGTTAAAGCTCCCAATAGAAATGTTAGCAGTAATGTTTGAGCATTTACCTCACTGAATAGGAGGCTTCTGGTCTTCCTTATAGGAAAAGTGCAGTGGCCGTCTGACAGCAGTTGGAACAAATTGTGACCAGGGTGTGAGGAGCTGACCGGCAGTGTGCAGCAACTATTTAGGGAGTTAGTTTATGTTCCTCACAGCCTGAGAAAACTCAGCTGCCTTCTCTGCTTTTTGAATAAAAGGACCATAAACTTTTGGGGGAACTTTTTTTTTTATCAAACTTTGCTGTACCTCAATAACCATAAACTGCCCATGTCTCGCTGCAGACAAATGATGATCTTAGCTTTTAGGATTTGTTTCAGAGCATTCGATGTCTGTGTTCCAGATGACGTGCTGGTTGAGGAAGAACAGAGCAATTCTCTGCCCAGCTTGATGACCCCATCCATAACATCTGGTATGTCCTCGAGTATGGACATGCCAAGGAAGCGCAAAGGAAGCACAGACAACCAGTTAGTACTCCTCATACATTTGATCTGATTAAAATACACCGAAAAAAAAAACAAACTTGTAAATTAACGTTTTTATTCTCCTGTCAGGGATTCAAAATTGGCTATGATTGACGATGCAGATATGGAAGATGACCAAAACAGGTGCTTTGCTCATTTTTAAAGGGAAACAAATGTTTTTGTGCAAATTTTCCCTAGAATAAATGTAATCTTTCCATGTGAATTTGGTGATTTTTCTCTCCACAGGTCGGACGGAGAGGACCAACATGTCAAAATGAAATGTTTCAGGTAGAAAAACCTTATAATAAACCTCTGATTAAACAAATGTCTGTTATAGTTCAATAATCCAGAGCGTGCTGCTTTTCAGAGCACGCTCTGAGCACATTTTTTTTAAATGTCTCTGCAGGGAACCACACAGCCAAATTGAGAAGAGGAGACGAGACAAAATGAACAATCTCATTGACAAGCTTTCAGCCATGATCCCCACATGTAACCCCATGTCCCGTAAACTGGACAAACTCACGGTGCTCAGAATGGCAGTGCAGCACCTCAAATCCCTCAAAGGTACAAAGTACATCCATAACCTGTGGTAATCAAAGCCCTACTTTTCTCAGTTAAGTTTAAATTATTTTGAAATTACATTTAACTGACAGAGACAACGTACGTCTTGTTAACTTCTTTTGTTTTATGCTAAAATCTTAAGCCTTCTACATAGTAAAACTGTCTGTAACTTCAGGATCAGCGAGCTCCTTCTCTGAAGCGAGCTACAAACCGTCATTTCTTCCTGATGAAGAGCTTAAACACCTTGTCCTCAAGGTAAACATGAGACAGTAAAACATGTTTGCATGTGTTACCTTATGATCAAAATTTCAAGGATATTAGAATTTTCCATCAATTACAAAGCAATAAAGTAGACTAGATTAGCTTTTCTTTATTTTTTGAACTATGTTAGTTACATTTACAATGTGTAGCATTTTACTTAAGCCTGATGGCTTTGTGCTTTTTTGTCTTGAGCAGGTCCTGACTGTCGCTCTTTCCTTGTCTCTGTTGTACAGGCTGCAGATGGGTTCCTGTTTGTAGTGGGCTGTGATCGCGGGAAAATAGTTTTTGTCTCAGAGTCCGTCACAAAGATATTAAATTATAGTCGGGTAACACTTTTACATTTGTCGCATAATCTGCTGTTTTTGTGACTTTATGTAAAAACACCAGACACGCTAGATGGGTTTTTGTTATGATGTCTGCATAGTGGATAGATGGGAATCTATGAGGTGCTGGTGACTTTAAAAGAGAGCATGCTCCCTGCTGTAGAACTGCTAGTTAAAACTAAAACATTCATTCACTACATATGTGCTTAATAGTTATGTTTGTACTGCTTTTAAAAATGGACATTTCTGTTTGGAGTTTGGCCATATTAAGATCTTAATCTACCATAATTTTTGCTAACTTGCTGTATCTTGTGTTTTCCTACCCACTGAACTTTTCCCTATTTTATCCTGTTACAACCACAAACGTGAATGGGTTTTATGTGGTCGACCAACACAAAGTGGTGCATAATTGCGAAGAGGGAAATAAAAATCAGGTAACAGGTAAATGCAACACCCTGGTATGCGGTTACAGCTGCAAGTCGAACAGCCGCAGCCTCTGTTGCATGTTTTGCCCCATATTTCAGGTCTTTAACTCCGACCAGCCTTTCATTCCATGCAGAAGAAAGCAACCCTAATATTTATGCTGCCTCTTCCATGTTACACTACTCATATTTCAGGATTTTCTATGCAGGTTTTCTACCACATGTAGTATTTTTGCATTGAGATTGTAAAGTTTCACTTTGGTTCTTCCACATCTTCAGAGAGTGTCTGTGTCCCTCGGTCTTTGTGGTTGTGTATTTTGATTCCTATGGAGATGAATTTAAATTGCACACAGGTAGATTTTGTTTACTAAATTGTCCATATTTGTTGGTTTTTAAATTTATTTAAATAAAGATGCCAGTCTCAGTTTTCAGACTTGTACGACCTTCCTTTTACTCGGTTTGCGATTGTGCTCTACTTTTGTGTTACCATAAAATCCCATTCAAAAATACTAGACTTTGTGATTGTAATATGACAAAATGTTAAAAGTTCAAGAATTATGGCTACTTTAAAATTAATAGTGTGTCTTTAAGATTAGAATCTGACTCATTTCCATCTTTACACCCTGTCTGGTGTGCTCCTGGGACAGAAGTCCTCAGTAAAAATACCCTTCGAAACTAGTTGTTAGCTCTGTTTAAATTAGGTATTTTTGTTGGTTGTTTCATCCACATGGAAGCCTTGTTTAAGTATGTGGTGTTCTGTGTTTTTTACTTTAGACCGAGCTGATTGGACAGAGCCTGTTTGACTATATACACCCCAAGGACATGGGAAAAGTGAAGGAGCAACTGTCTGCTTCTGAATTGCACCCTCGTGAGCGGCTAATAGATGCTAAAAGTAAAGCGTTTTATTTTTGTCTGTGTGTGTGAGGTCAAAAGACTTAATTTTACTGCAGTGCGTTTAACACTCTGGGTATCTGCAGCTGGTCTGCAGGTTCAGGCTGACCTTCCCATCGGTGCGTCACGGTTGTGCTCAGGCGCTCGGCGCTCCTTCTTTTGTCGCATGAAGTACAACAAAATACCTGTGAAAATCGAAGAAAAGGAAACGCAGGCAAACATCTCTAAAAAGAAAGGTGACCCCAAATTGCTTGGCAGTTTCCACAAATGACCCCCAGAGGTGGATTTTATTTTGTGCATATTGTTTATGACATTTAATGCAACTTTTTATTTTATTTTTTTAAGAGTCACAGAAATACTGCACAGTCCACTGCACCGGCTACATGCGCAGTTGGCCAACCAGTCAGATGGGTGCAGAGGGGGACGGAGAGGGGGACAAGCAGGACAGCTCCTACTTTAGCTGCCTGGTGGCGGTGGGACGCGTCCATTCACACTCGGCTCCGCAAGTTAACGGAGAAGTCCGAGTTAAACCCACTGAGTTTGTTACACGCTACGCCATGGATGGAAAATTCACCTTTGTTGATCAAAGGTAAATTTAATTTCCTGTTACAGGAGGGTAAGGTGGCCTAGAGGATGATGTAGCTAGTCTAAAGAAAGACCACAGCTGGCTACATTTTGAAAATCATTCCAGATATTTTAACCATTCTTTAAATGAGATGCTTTATACAGTTAATTAGGAACTGTGTGATTCCAAGCTACTGAAACATTTAAGAACATTTTATTACTTAATTTTCATAAATAATCGAAACGAACTTGCACTGTTTAACATCATGGTGTTTATAAAATGGTTGAAAAATGTGTAACTTGAAACATGAATGGAGGATTTGTGTCTTAAAACATTATAAATTACACTTAAAGGTTTGGACAAAAAAAAAAAGAAAAAAACTGAAAAGTTGTGTATTTGTTTTCATTTCTATGAACACACGCTCCCTCTGCAGCTTTCCAATGTCTCTGAACTTTTTTCCTCCAACAGAGCAACAACCATTTTGGGTTATCTTCCCCAAGAATTGCTTGGAACATCGTGCTACGAGTACTTCCATCAAGATGACTTACTACATTTAGCCGATCGACATCGAAAAGGTAACCTACGTGTCTCGCATAGTTTTCTTCTTAAAGTAATTTTAAAGTCTCTGCTGCATAAAATGCGCCAGCTTCAACATCGCTGCGATGCATATCGAGCTGCAAAATTTCTTGTTGTTCCAAACTGGTAATTTTGCACACTATATTGTTTAATTTGCTTTTTTTTTTCCCCTTCTTGTCACCTCTTTACAGTCCTGCGAAGTCGAGAGAAAATAGAGACAAACTGCTATAAATTCAAAACAAAATACGGTTCTTTTGTCACTCTGCAAAGTCAGTGGTTTAGTTTTGTCAACCCTTGGAACAAAGAAGTCGAATACATAGTGTCAACCAACACAGTAATATCGTAAGTATATGCCTGCAGCATTTGGTGCTTTATCTGACCATATCTGCACACGGCTGCTCAGAAAACCGTCTGCTTCCTGTTCTCTCCCCTCCTCTGATAAGGTACGACAACAGTCGAACAGCGCGGTCTGGACACAAGTCTGAACAGTCGGGCAATTCCAAGGCTTCAGAAGGTCAGAGCATAACAATCACTGATTTGCATGTGTGTGCAGCTTCCATACTTGCATGCAGCACCTTCTGTGATTTTCCTTGCAGCTGAGCATGTTGCTGTTTTGTGTGAATGACGTGTGTTTTTCCGTTGAAGTCAGTAAACTAAGTCTGGCCTAGAAACGTTTGTAGGTCACTTTGAGCGTGTTGTTTCAGAAACTGGTGCGCACTGAACGATGGGCTCAATTAGTTAGTTTTTAAGTGGAAATCTAAACAGGGTTGCTTATTAATTAATTAACGGTCCAACTGCATTATATGTTGTGCTTGAGAGTTTTGTCATAATACTCGAGTTAATTTCTAGAAAAAGGCTCCTGCAGAACAAAGTCTTTCAAGGAGTGTAGCTGCAGCTGGATGTGCTGAAAACCACGCACATTTTTCTATATACTGCAGTTGTTGTGACAAAGTATGGATTTGGTTTTTATCGTAACTAAAAGCCAAAAGGAAAAAAGCAAAATAAAGAGATTATTTTAGACTTTGTTTCTTCTTACATTTAAGTTGACATTTGAGTTTCCACATAATGTGTTGATTTAACCCTTCACTTTTTCGTATTTTTGGGATTTTTCTACAATGTGACTGGAGGCACAAATTGACAATTTAACAAAAGGGCCATTTACTAACTGCTTGGTCTGTACACATAATGTGTTAGAAACATTTGTTTGTCTGACAAATTAAATGTTGTTGCTTTAAACAGAATTATTAAAATAAACCTGGCCTGAAAAGGCGTTTGCATATTAAAAAAAATACTCATTTTTGAATCCTAATCTTACTTATATTCTTACAGACTGCAAGAAGTCCCTTCCAGTTATACCAGGCATCTCCTCTGCATCTGGAACTATGATATACGCCGGAAGCATTGGGACGCAGATTGCTAATGAGCTGCTGGATTTCAACAAGTACGGCATCAAAACAAGTGTTTAACTTTTAAGGGTCATGAGGAAAAATTAGACACCTTATGCTATAAAACATGTTCAGACGTAAGGATATCTTATGTAAATTTTCAAATCGGGTTGATATATAACTGAATATTTTAAAATATTTAATTTAAAATGAGTCATATATTTCCACTGTTTAAAAAAAAAAATCCAATCAGATATGGACAATATTCCATATTGATTTGATCTGAGGCCTCTGGAAAAGTGGTCTCAAAAATTCATTATGGATTTTATGGAAACTAATCTACAAATGGAGAACCTTAGAAACCGTTACCAACATGCTCAGCTTTGGCCATGCAAATGACTGTAACGTGAAAGCAGACTCTAGGATGCCACAAGAAGGCTCCAAAAATCCTAAAATGTCCCGTTGGCGCCTGCAGCAGGCTCTTACTGCAGTGGAAGTAACTCTCCACAATCAGGAAGAAACTCGAAGCAGGAAACATTTGCTCTCTCAAATAAACATCAGACTTAAAACGAGGGAATTTCAAAAAAGGACTAGAAATGTGTTATGTAAAACTTTTTCTTATAAAAGAACTGAATATTTAATGGGATGTCCTAATTTTCCCTCATAGCTTGATTATAACCTAAATCTACTAGTGTTTTCTTTCTTTTCATCCATCTCCTTAAGCAGCTCTGTTTTTCCTGCTATGCTGTTTGATACATTATTGATTGTCTGTGTTGTTCTGCTCAGGCTGAATTCATCACCTTCTAGTGGGAACGTCAGTCCATTCAGTCTGGCACAGGATAAATCTCCCCAAACACTCAATCAGATCACCAACAGTGTAAGTGTCTGTTCAGTAAATCCTGTCTTATCCAGAAAACAGCTTTTAAATTGTTTCATATGTAGAGATGGGCTTTACAAATCTTTCTATGAATCGTTTACATAACAAAGATGTTTCCCAATACAGGAGGAAAACAAATGACTTTCGAGTTGGTGTTTTAAGTGCAATTGGTCCATTTCTTACAACTCTTTTTGGTTTAAAATACTAAAATGTTGTCATTATTGTTTAAAATATTCATTCAGTTTTAAAATCACCCCCAAAAGAATTGATCTTTGTCCATTCTTCTTCTGCTTCTTTTTAAACGTCCTGCATACTGCCTCTAATCTGCTTGTCTTTTTCTCTCCAGGTGCCAAACGGAGAAACTTCTGACATGGAGATCCCAGGAAAGTCGAGCTCAGAGGGTGAACCTCCAGGGGTTTCATTCCCAGGGGGAGACTCACTGATGGGTACTCTATCTGAACCTCTTAATAAGCCTATTAAAAGCATGTAATAAAACTATTGCTGAATATTGTGATAACTATGTTGATTTCAATTAACCAACATTTTCCAAACTCGTTTGCCTTTTCCACAATCACAATGGTCCCACTCTTCTCTGTGAGCTTAAGCATACATAAAGTAGAAGCATAGATGGCAGTAGAAGTTTATCTTTGCTCTCCAAAACTTCATTGGCAGACAAAATGTGCTTGCTTGGTACTTGAGACATAATATCTTATGAAATATTGGACTTATCGTGCTGTTTCTGAGTGAGTGAGCCTCTGACAAGTTTCCCTTCCTAAGATTCATAATCTCTTAGTTAGCCAAGGAGTTCTCAGAAACAATTGGGATCCCCTTAAAAACTTAGGCTTAAGGTCAGAAAGAGGAGAGTAGTGCAAGGTGACTCGGCCCAAACGTGTTCATATTTTTTTTTTCCCTTTCCTTCAGGGGAGAATTCCCAGCTGGATTTGGACAGTGTTGTTGGACCCAGCCTGAACAGTTTCAGCACCGACGAAGCGGCCATGGCGGTGATCATGAGCCTGCTGGAGACCGACACAAGCTTGGGAGAAGCCGTAGACTTCGAAGAGATGCACTGGTCTTTATAAAACCCGTATAACAGCTGCTGTGGGGAAACATTTGAGTGATCCGTTCCTTTGTGACAGGAATGCTAACTCCAAAAAGCAGCATTAATGATTTTTTTTTTTTTTTTATGTAAAGACTTTAAATTATTAGTTAACCCCTTTCATCATAAGCTTTATAGTTTCTTGACGACCGCTCTCCCAAGATCAGGAGTAGTGTCCGTATGGGACACTTTCCCTCCTCAGATGCAGGATGTTCCTCTTGAGCCTTGCAGCAGTTTCTCACTAGATAAAAGTTTTAACAAGTTGAGACAAAAAGTTGAATTTCCAACTTTTTATTCCTCCAACCCAGTTTGAAAAAGATTTAGGTATGAAAATGCAAAAAAGAAAAAGAAACACAATGAACCGTTAGGTTGCTACTGTTTGAATACTAAAAAAAAGGACATGAGGAAGACAGCCTGGTCCCTCTCTGTAAAGCCTCAGGATCCAATCCGTTGGAGCGCACCATGGCAGGCCAACCTCTGTAACATCTACCTTTTGAGAGTCAACTCTTATGTGGATGCTTGGAGGGTTTTATCTTGTCAGTATCGGAACATATTTCAAAAAAAGCAGCCATAGTAATGCTCTTCTCTTCTACACTGACCTATAAATGCTGTATTTTGTGGGGTTAATGAGGGCACACACCACATTTTCAGACCACATGTGTCTTAAAGGGACAGTTTGCAAAGAAGGCCCCAGTTTAATAACATCAGCATCAGACATGGAGCAGGTTCTATATATTTGTCCTCATACATTTAGAACAATAGCAGAGTAGATCAACTTCGTTCTAAGCAAAACCAAACAAAAATAAAACATTTCAAAAGTGGTGTCTAAGAGGTTTGGTAGCAACTCACTTTAAATTTGGTCAGTGTGTGTTAAAGTTGAATCAGAGGGATGATACAGGAGATAATTCAGGGAGTTATCCAGTTGAAGGACTTCCAGACTCCCCTGCTTTCTCTGACTGCACCAGTTCACCTGTGTGTTCTTATGCAACATCAGCTTCATAGTTTTGCAGGTTAGCTTTAGGCGGGTTTCTTAATATTTTATTTTATTTTTTTAAATGTACATTTATGCACTGACCTGTTTCCGAAGACGTGTTAATGTTTTTCGTGCTTACTGGGCGCACATTGGGTTGTCTCATAAAGCTCCGGTCAGAAGTTTACATACATTCTTTGTCTGCATGAATGTCGTATTATTTGAAGTTTCAAAGCTTCATTTAAACCGTTCTTTTTTTTTTTTTTTTTTTTTTCCCCCCCCAGGGTTGAATAATTAAACGATATACAATTTCAGTGATTTTTTTGTAACAAGGATTGGGTTCACAAGTTGTACATTTATTGCGACCACTGAATTGCCACCCTGACCTCAACTCGTAAAATATTTCTAGTCTGTTTTTAAAAAGCCAGATCTGTGTTGGGAAACAAGTGACAATTACTGAACCCTACAAATTTTGCCAAGGAGAGTGCAAGAATATTGGACCAGAATCTTGTTGCTTGCTAGCAATACTTGGTGGTTCAGGGGCAAGTTGTGAAGCAACACTAAGCCAAAAAACAATGAGGGTGTTTTTGCATATTTGAGCCTGTATGAATTAGAAAGAACTTTATCTTGTCTTTAAAACTAATTGAAGTAGTGTGTTCCAACATCTTCTCACCCTTCTTAAAGAAGGGTTCAAATGTATCATCAACGACATGAATTCTATGATGTGTCTATGTAAACTTTTGACCAGAACAGTGCTTTCTTTAAGGGATTGTGCTATGCAGAACTATCATTCCTCACGTTTCTACATTTAAATTTGTCCCGTGTCGTTTTCTCTCTACATAGTGGTTTGTGCATGCAACTTTTGAGTCCCCGAACTTTGCTGAATCCTGTTGCCATTTACCTCATGTAGAATTTTGACTTTCTGTTGCTTAGAATTGCACATTTTATCTCTTAGGGAGAAAAGTGATAGACATTGTTATAGCTATCACCATAACAATGGTGATAATCTGTTTTGTTGGTGATACACTGTATTGTCCCATTGGGTTTGAGTTTTATTATGTAATCACCAAAATTCCCTCAAAATTAACACATTTTATGCTAATATTGCTGAATTTATGTATCTATATGTAAACTCGTTGAAAGAAAGCTAATTTATTGGTTGTTTTATTGTATAAAAACATTTTCTTGAAATATTAAATGCCAAACTATAGATGCTGTCTAAGATGCTGTGAAGTATCATTAGCCATTAACACTTTCATTTTACAAGTTATAGCCACAGATATAACATTTTCTATTCTAAGTGTTGAACATTGGAAAGAAAATTGTACAATTTTTCAATATTTTTGTCAGAAATTTGTGTATGTCTATTTTACCCTATATAAATAATATCTAATATACTGGCACCTAAGCGTTAGATGGAATTGTTTGTCTTGTTTGGTATCTTGGGCCACGATTTAATGATTTCTTGCGGACTGTTAAGTTTTTATCCCCGATAAGAACTCTTGTTTCATGGATGGAAAGGGTTGTGAATTATGAAGAATACTGTCTTGTCTTATTAAGCTTGAATTATGAGGAGCCAGTCGACAGAGCAGCTGAATTCACAGGGACCCCCCCCCCCCACCCAACCATGCCTGTGTCCGAAGTGCCTTTGTACATTTCTGCTCGGACACATAATGAAACCTGTGTTGTTCTTTTTTCTGTTTTACTTGGAGGCGCCTCTGTGGACTGAACGGAGGGCTAAACTGCATATCTTTGGATTAACTTGAAGCGCCATCCATGGCATGCTGTGCCCATCAATGGATGATGTGGAAACCTGTGCAGAGATGGAAGCAGCAGCTGCACATGTTGGCTTCAGAACTCACTACCTAACCAAACACACAGCGCTAAGGAGTCATGCCATGGATGCAGTCCTTTTTTTTTTCTTTTTCTGAGGCTGTTTGGTATTGTTACTGTGCAGCTTCCTCCATTGTTCCTCTGTTGTGGTCGTCGTTTCCTCAGAAAGATAATATATTGCTCTCATGTCAGCCTGTTTTGCTGTGACAGAGTGATTGACCTTTTCACAGAGTTTTGCTTCGACTCCATTTGAAATAAAATGTAGTTTTTGTAAGCAAGCAATCTGTCTTTTTGTGTGTCCAGATATTGGTTTCTAAAGCCAATCAGTGCCAGAGATAGTTTATTTTAACCAGGGATATATGACTCACTGCATGAAAAGTTGGAAGGTTGTATCTTTCCAGGACCAAGTTGGAAAACAAAATATTTTCTGTGATGGCTTCAAAGAGCATGAAACAAGACCATGAAAACACCACACAAGCAAAATAATTTGTGCATAATTTTAAATAATAAAGCGATATAAATCCACAATAAGAGGTTAAAATAGTTCAATGAAATAGTGAAAGAAGCAATGCTTTTTTTATTCTATGTATTTTATCTTGCTGAATTTATTTTTGAGTAAAGACTACATATGTTTAACTCTTCAGTAATGGCTAATTTTTAATGATTTTCTCCATATTTGTTTTTCATTTCTATAAAAGACGAGGCTAATAAGCCCTTGACTAAAGTACTTATGGATAATGCTTGCTTTACAAAAAAAAATAAAAAATCTAAATAAATAAATTTTAATTGGAAAACTAAAGTAAAATACTGTAGCAAATATTGCCTAGAATGTTGTGAAATTAAATTAGTCTATTACTCATTTTACTTGCATATTGCGATATGGCGAAGGGCTCTGAAGTTTATGATAAAACTTTGCAGTAACTCATAATCTCCAGTAGAGAGCGCTGGTGATTGGCTTAGCAAAAAAGTAGCTAGTAGCTTTCAAGGGTCATTCTGAACTTTGTTTACAATCACAATAGTTATAATTCTGTGATTTATTTTTGTAAAACTAATGTTTCACACAGCTTATTTAAAAAAAAATCACTAATACTTCCCAGTTAAGTTCGCCTGCGGTAAACCTTTGACTATCACTTCTCAAACTTTGAAGAAAATATCCTTTAATGATCCAACACAAAATTACATGAATAACTACTTTAATTAATGTCATATTATTAACCACTGTAGTTTTTGATTACTATCATCTGTGCCAAATAAATCAATTAAAATATGCAAGTTTTCAGGGTTCAAGTGACAGACTAACAGAGAGATCTAGCACACATTTGCTCCTGTTATGCTACAGTGAACGCCCCAGGCTTCCTGGCTTGTAAAAGGGCGCATTCCCTAACAGTCCGCCGGGAAACAACTCGGATAGAAGTGGTGGACGTCAAGAAGAGTTTTTCTTTTAAATGAGGGGACAATACATTTTTCCCAGGGGATCGAGATCAGACATCAAGTTAGACTTATCTGAGTTTATTATGTCATTATTAACAGTTCTTAATTGTTTTGTTTTTTTAACAAGAAGCACCTTCTGCTTTGGGTCCATGCCTCATCCCAAAACATTCATAGGCATCCTCATGCAGCAATATCTCCCTACTGCAGTCCGCAAAAAATGTCATTCCCTTCTGTATCAAGACTACAAACGAATTGCACATTTAGAAAATCAGTGCACAAAACATCCAAAATTATAATATTTTAGTGTCCATCTTTTGCTACGACTTGTGTGCCCATTAGCATACAGAATTAATTTTGCTAATTTGTTGACTCACTTAAGAGACTTCTAGCAACTTATACTAGTTGCAAACTTATATAGTCAATACTTTCCTGACAGAGGAGTTGGTGGCACCGGATACATAATGCAGAATCATACATGTATTATTTATAACAATGTCGTTATCTTGGCAAACAAGCAACTCTTTTATTTATATCAGTCACTCTGGAAGTGGGAGTCCGTCGCGCGTTCGCTGTGGATCTGTGTGCCGTTTGCCTCACTGGATGAGAAATGGTGCGCACCCAAAAATCCCTGCTCCCGGACCAATCCAGGTTGGAGCTGGGAGGGATTTTTTTTTTTTTTTTCCAACTGTGGCGTCATCAACTTTCCCCCCACTGCCGTGTCACATCGACATCATGGCGTAGCGATGCGGAGGAACTGGGGGTTTCTCTGGTGGGTACGGAGAAGTTCAGAAACTGTGGAGTTTAACTTTATCATAAGGAAATCAAATCAACGGAAAAGCCAATTCCTTCGACCAGAGTGGAGGTAAGAGGAAGTGTTGTTCTTTTGGCTGTGATTTGTTTGCTTCTTCTTTCATAATAAACTTCGTTCAACGGCGGCGTCCCGCGCGCCTTATGTTGGTCCTTCGTAGCTTAACGGCTAATTTTGTTGGACTTTTAGCCGTTTCAACGGTTATTTAAACGACCTAAGAGGGGCTCGGCGATGTGCCGCAGGAAGTCTGTTGACAGTCAACAACTTTCGCTGTTGTTTGGTGTGTCTTTGGTGAACAAA